AATACATATACAGAAGGGCTTCCCACTTCATCTCCCCTTTTCCATCTAAATGAAAGAGAAGGTTTTAATTTTAACATACAAAACAAGTATCAAGCAACAATTAGAGTTGCAATATTTAGTCATCTATCTTTGTGATTCTAAAGTTTTATATCTAATTTATCCTTTATAATAACTAAGGCAAACTATAACTATCTGTCTTCAACTCTTCAAAGACCTCCAAAGTAATTGCTTTTTGGTAGGTCCTAAAAGTCCAGTTCATACAGCTTACTCTCAGCAATCCAGGTGAGAGCAGTTTCTTGCCCAAATGGCTAACCTTGTCACATTGAAGGCAAATTCCATAATTAGTTTCTTCGATTTCCATCAACCTCTCTGAAGTAATTGGTGTTACCAGAAGCAGGCATGTCTCACTGTTGAGAAAAGTCTAAGTTCTTAAAGCATTTTAAATATTTAAATTTTGTTTGTCTTTGAAAGATTTGAAGACTACTATCCATCTGAAATATATCTCTATACATCTAGAAAACCTAACTAACATGACTACAAGTTTGAATATTACAATTGATTATCTATTAATCTGCAATTTTAATTATATGTTACAATTTTTAAAAGAGCTGCACAAACACAATACCTTAAACAAGAGCACAAAAATATACATATTTATATATGTATGTATATATATAGTGTAACAACATTATATATATATATACAGTGTGACAGCATTATATATATATATATATGTCTATATATATATACAGTGTAGCAACGATGACCTGAAATTTTGATCAATAGATCAGGATCTATACCAATGGAAAACATTTATTTCTATATCATATCCTCCTTTAAATGAAAGCAAACATTTATAAACAATCATTTTGGGAATTTGGGCACAGTTTTCTCCAAACTGCTTCCTGCTGTTTGTTGGGCAAAGTATTTTTAGGGTTCATTGAGACCTTTCAGGGGCTCTTGTTCCATCAAATAACATTAGCCTGGAAAGAATCCACAGGTTCTCATCTGTAAAAACAAAAGCAGAACATCTTTTCTCTCTCCTCCCTTTTTTTTCTTCAGCCTAGATTTCTATTTATTCTTTCTGCGAGCAAGCCCCACCTATTTCTCTCTGCTACCTAGTTATTGAATGTTCAGTTCTTTATTAGACCAGTCAGGTGTTTTATACAGGCAAAGTAACATCACTTTACAGAGTCAAACAAATGCAACATAAAAATACAACACATCTTTGCATCATTAAACAAATATTTCATAGCATAAATGAATGTAACACATATTAAACTAGTATTTCACAACAGTTCCTCTTCCCACCCTCCCCCAGTCCACCCATGAAATTATTACCAGGGAGATCTGAGTATCCTTCCTTGAGCCCTCCTTGATACCTAGCCTCTTTGGGTTTGTGGATAGTTTTGCTTCCCTTCTATGCTGCCTTCATTATATCTTTTTTCTTCAAAACCTTAATCAGTCATGGTACTGCCTGTTAACTCAGTTTTCAGGATGATAAAGTAGGACTGTTGTGAGTTTCAGAACAGCCTGGACTGTGTAATGAGTAACAGGACTGCTGTGGCTACATGGTGAGGCCATATCTCAGAAATTCAAAAAGAAAAAGGAAGCAAAAATCTCATCTTTGGTCTTCCTTTTTGCTTCCTTGGCTCTGAGTAGATATGAAAGTCACTCAAAATTATATTCCACCTAAATTAATGTTCGTCTATTTTTTCTTACCCTCTTTGGGACCCTGTTGTTGAGCCATTTTGTTTTCATTTTTCTTAATAGATTTAATTTTTATTATGTGTATGGATGTTATGTTGGATATAAGTTTGTGCACTGAATGCATACCTGATGCCCATAAAAGAGGATATTGGATCTCCTGGGACTGAAGTGACAGGTGATTACGAGCTGCCATGTGGCTGCAGGAAATCAAACTTGGGTCCTCTGGAAGAGCAACCAGTACTCTTAAGCCCTGGGCCATGTCTCCAGCCCCATCAGATTGTTTTCCACTTTGGGCTAACATTAAGAAGGGTACCATGTAAGAAGAGGAAAGACTGAGTTCCTTGTTTAAATAAAATAAAGGATCCCAGGCCTATCGAGGAAAATTAAATCATGCTATTTTGAATTATTTATCTTATACTGACTCACCAAGAATGAGGGGCTTTCTCCCCATGATCAAGGTGTTTTTACTGTTATTCCAAATCTGCCTGGATTTGTTTCTTTTGTCTGCTCTGTTGCTAGGCATGAATAATTATAAAGCAGTAATGCCATATGGGCATGTTTCATCAAATACTAGTGTTTTGACACAAGACTTTCTTGTAATTATAAACTGTAAGACAGTCCATAAATAGACTTTTAAAATATTTATATTTTTTTCTTTGGACATTTTATGCATTCACACAATGTATATTGGTCACATTCATTCCCCACTTGTCCCCATAACCTCTCCTAGATGTCTCTTTTATGTTGCCAAAGAAGACTTTATCTTTTAAGTTGTGAATATCTGAAATCGTTTATAGGCAATCAGAGTTACTCAGCTTTAGCATGTCAAGAGCAAGAATTTCCTATCAAGAAAACGAAGATACTCAAGAGATCAGGAGAGCAAGCCGTCCTTTCCCTGGAACATTTATTGACCTTGGGGATGACTCACATTATGGCAATACTTCATTCCAAGTGATT